CAGTTGCATCATGTTGAGAACTGATGCCGTTTCCACATTTCTGTATTTGTATTTTACATTTAGAAAGTGATTTCTGTTGTGTCAAGTCTAAGTGAAATTCATAACATGAAAATGGAGAAGGAACCAATCAAAACCAGTGCTGTAAATCACACCTCCCTCCCTGATCATAAGTCATTTATAATAAATGATGCTGCGACTCTTTCCAATCATTATCGTCTGCCTACCAAACATTAATACTGCTTATCAAAGAAAAGTGTTGCACATAGAATGAGAAGTTTTCGTAAACAATCCGAAGTGACAGATACAAGTAAATAAAAGAAAAACACTTTCTGATGTTTCTTTCAAAGAATCTTTTAGATATGCTCAAGGTGCCTTTTGGTGTAGAGTGATGACATTCCACCGGCGGCAATATTTCATGCAGAATGACATGCTCCACTGCTTTGAATGAGCGTTTTCTCTCAGCGCTGAGAGAAATAAATGTAATAAAGCATTGCAAACACATACTGCAACCCAACCATTAGAAAACAGGAAAACTGTAGATTGGAAAAAACATCATCAACAGGAAGATTTGACACATTCAGATGTTTGGCTTGTGAAATTGCCAAACATCCAGTTCTTGAAATAAAATATGGATTTATTTACTAAGGCGGGAAAAGCAACCCAAACCACTTGACCCTAATTTCCCCCTTCATTCAATTTCACAAGCCAAACATAATTATTGTCTAATTTATAAAGTCAGTAAAAATACATAAAGATCTGCATATTGTTTAAGAATAATCAAGAAACAAAGGCATTGACAACTACCAGACAAGAAAATGTTACAAAGTCATTTCTCAGGATTTTGGACCCGAGAGCCAAAAAATCTACAGAGAAAACATGGAGCAGTGATGAAACTTCATGTTTACAGAAATGATCCCCAGAATGCACTGACAACTCATCCAGGAGATCACAGACGTACCCAGAACAACATCTAGATCTCTGCAGTTGTTGGGTCAGTTATGGTCAGTTTTTATGATTCATCAATAAGAAAAACTCTGCTGAAATGGAATAATTTCAAGCTATAAACTTCAATGGACCAAAGAAAACACAAAGGTCTGTATTAGATTTGCCAAAAAAACCTCTGGGTGAGAATGAAAAGGTCATACTAAAACTCAAACACTGTGGTGGGAACGTGATTGTCTGTGGGAGCTTCGCTTGCCATAACTATTGAAACAATGAACAGTCACCAGTTCATGACCTCAAGTTCAGTCTTCCTCCGAGTGCCTCTAAAAAGACTCTTCTGCTTTGTGCATTTCCTCGGGTTACTTTTGTTTAACATTAAAATGTGTTCCTTCATCTGAAAAATGTGAATTCTAGTATTTTTTTTATTTCTTTAATTGTGGATTTTATGCTAACAAAACCAAGCTAAAACAGAACATGGACCAAAACCTCTCATCTCCAGTTGTCTGCACATAAGGCTCATTTATTGGCCGTGACACGTCAATTTCTAACACCACACAGCAAGGGTTTGGGTAAGAATGAGAGATTCATTAAAGTTCATTCTGATGCCTCCAGGGAAATCAACAGTGATAGAGTCAAAGGGCTTCACTATAATCCAGTCTTCCCTGATATGAGTAATACAATCTGTGGAGCTTTATGAGTAATATAGAGGGGAATATTTAAGCTGACAGAAGACTTCAGGGGGCAATCACTGAAGAGGGAAATGATTTAAATAGACAAAGACCTTCTTTGAGTTGTTACGTCCTGAAGCCCCTGATGTCAAGGTCCAGTACCTCGAGTGACTGACTTGAATCATGACAGAAAGGTACCTGAAAAACCTTTTTTTAAATACATAAAAATTACAATAAGGAATATCAAAAAGTATGGAAATAAAATGTGGCAACAAAATTATGAAATGCTCTTTAAGAAAGAAGCAAAGAACCCATCCATCCATTTTCTATACTCCTTCGTCCCTTAGTGGGTACAAACAACCAGGCACACACTCACACCTAGGGACAATTTAGAGAAACCAGTTAACCTAACTGTGGGAGGAAGCCGGAGTACCCAGAGAGAACCCACCATTAACAGGGAGAACATGCAGAAAGACCCCAGGCTGGGAATCGAACCCAGAACCGTCTTGCTGCAAGGCAACAGCTCTACCAACTGCGCCACTGTGCAGCCCGAAGCAAGGAACCATTAGTTTATAATATCTATTTAATAACAGTAACACATCTGGAGTGAAACCCTGCGTTTAAAAATGTTTTAGTTAGTTAGGTATGATTAATATCCTTCATATAATAGTGAGTAGTTGGGCAAAAGGTTGCCTTGCTCCAGACCGGCCGTTAATCACAGCAGATGTAGCTTTGACTTTCACGTTTGTGTGCTCATCACAGACACTAGCCTGAGACACACAGGCGACTTCTAATGACTCCACTTTATGTCTGAATAATTAAAGTTTGGCTTGTCGGAACCAGTTTCCAGCCCAGGTCCCCAACCCTCAGAAGGATGGTGAAACCGCCACGTCAGCACCTTTTGAGGGCACCGCCTGTGATTTATGGCGTGTTGTCAACGATTTCGGCTGGAAAAAAGCCAATGGGGTTCATTTCGTTTTGGGTTCGTCTGCAAGCCGCTGCTTCAGAGACTTCGTTTGAAAGTTAATGTATTTTTCTTACCATCACTGCATTGTTGTTGTTAGTGTGAGGCTTTGAATATTGGTTCCATGTGCGATTATTAATTTAAGAGAATGCAATTTTCTGTCTTGAGTATTATTGCACCTGTCAAAAGGTTTATTGCTTCATTAAGGCAAAGCTTCCAGAACTATTAAGAGGTTTTGCGATGGAAGCTGCAGCCCTTTATGACAATTTAATATGTGTCTTTTTTTAATACAAGAATGTATTTAGCTGTAAGGACTTTGCAACTACTAGTTTGTCAACCAAATCTGGTAAATGTTAGAGCTATTTATTCTATATTTGTAGAAAAACAAGACAAAATTACAAACAGTGAGAACTAATAAATATGGCAAAGAATGCAGAATATAATTCCCAGCTCAAGCAGAAGAAAAGATTTTAATTGTTTATTTATTGACTAATAAAAGAGATTTGTTTCCCTCAGAGGAAATCTATAATTATTCGGTTTACTCCAGCAGATTCCCGTTCGATTTCATGACAGCGAGGTTTCCTGTCACACAACACCAGTTTCAGTGATTCTTTGAACAATAAATAGCCAATATTAGCGGTTTTTTCCAACAAAGAAATACACAGGCTGTCAAACACATCAAGTGCTTTTGCTTTTAGTACTGATTACATGGAGGCGAGTGGGACTGAAACACTTTCTTTCATTCCCAAAGGACGTCGGCTGAACGGCAGCAGTTTATTTGTCAAGGAAGTTTAGAGTTATGAGATTTGGCATTTAAGATTACAATTTTGTTGTTGTGGAAGAAGTGCAGGCTGCTAAGAGGTAAAGCCGGATGTCAGGAGCAGGAGGGTTCAACTGAGTTTAATTTTAAACAAAACTAAAGGAAGCTATGTCTACAGACCAAACAGACTAAGCTGAGACATATGAAACAAGAACAAAGAACCCCTGATGGCAGATTAATGATAAACAAACTTGATCTGTATCAACAACCAATAGAATTAATGTATTTTGTGGTGTGGTACTTTCAAAATCTAATTAACCATAAAACCAGAACCTGACTTCAAAAAAGAAACTAATATTAATCCTGAAGGAAGCAACACATCTGAGCCAATGAAAGCATCTAACAACACAAAGGAAATCTGTTTGTTACCTTGCATAAATCCAACTTTAAAAGACATTTCAACATATGTTTGCGTAATATTCCATAACAAATGAGCACACAGCATCATATAATTGATTCTGGTTCACTACACAATTAATTAATTGTGCTATAATGTTTCAAGGCACTGTAAATTGTTTGATTGCTGGAAAACAAAACGTGTTCTCTTGTATTATAGACACAACAATAAAGCCTTTACAGCTGACTCCAATTGCTGCCTCTTTGTACAATGATTAAAACAACTTATGGTGCAATTTCATTCAGAAAAACATCCAAATTACACATGGCCACCACATCCTATGACATTCAGCTGTAGGTACACACAGAGATAAGTGATGTGTGCAGTCACACTTTAACTAAACCGCTCGTAAACCTGACTGTGATTGTACCATAATGCTATGGATGATTACACGTAACTGCAGATTGAGCTGCTAAATAGTTGTGTGCAGGAATTAAGTTTTCTTCAGTTATCTCCAGTTATTTATGTCCTGCCTGATTTCTAAATAATGTAGACAGGAATGCAGCTATAATGTAATGTGCTTATGGTGAGTTAGACATTAATTTGCGATTATGTTTTGTTAAATGAAAAAGGACTCTGTGTTAAATTACCTCTCATGGATATAAACACCGATTGTTCTGCAAGGTAGATTTTACCTGGATTTACTGAGCTACCAGAAACAGAGTATCAAATTAAACTGTGTGTTAGTGGATCATTGACTGCATCAAGCCCCTAGCTTAGCTAAACACAACAGTGTATTTGTGGCTCCCCACCAGCCACAAATACACTGTTCTCCAAAGTGCCTCAATAAAATCACAATGTTTAACAATACGTGAGAGCACAGAGCGGCAGCAGCACCGCACATCGTCGGGGACATGCGACGTTCACAAAGCCGTGCGACTCAGTCCTCTCACTACAAAGATTTATGGCGGAAACCCCTCATCTCTTAAATCTTCAGCCTAAACACCCCACTGGTTCCACTGGTTAGTTCTGCTGACAGGTGTTATTAGAATATTTCTGCTTTGTGCAAAGCAAGGAGAAACGCAAGCAAAAACTGTTGGCTCAGGTTTGGTGAATCCAGTGGGACTATACTCCAGATGCATGGTGGCAACAAACTCTGTTGCCCAGGTGGCTAAGCAGCACATAATGCCGCAGCTGAGCTGCTGCAGCAGGCCTCCTGGCAGCAACACAAGAGCTGCCAGTCATTAGAGGAAAAAACTGAGTCTCCACAGAAATGACTGGTTTATTTATTCCAAAATGAGGGGAACTGGGGACATAGGACATATTTCACCAGCAATAAATAATACAGCAAGTACTCAAACACTACTTTAACATATTCTCACTTGGATAGAAGTAAAAGAGTAAACACTAAGTAACTAAGTATTCAGGCTGGTTAAGTACTGAGTACTGCTTAGTCAGATTTAATTTGTGAAAATCATGTAATCAATCAGGCAATTGCAAAATAGTGTGTAGATTCTGGTACTTTGGATAATAGAAAAATAAATCTAATCATTACAAAATAACATTTTTCAAATCTTCCTTTTTTACAGCATAGAACATCTAAACAGTTTGTAGAAATTAAGTCAGAATGTGTTCTGTAAGTTTTTCTGAAAAGTAGCTTGAAGTATCTTATTACACTCAGTCATCTGTTAGTCCAGGAATGTGTACTGCATGTTTAAGACGACGTCTGGTTACCAGTCACCTCATAATGCAGCCTGGTCGACTGATGGATCTTCCAAGTTCAGAAAGGTGTCCTGTAAATTCAACAAATACAAACTTATGGAAAGTAACATGTAGGTACCAGATACATTTTGTGAAGTGATCTTTAACTTCTGAAAGATACCCTGTAAGTCCTAGCATAGTAAACAATAAGTTCTAGAAAGCATCCAAAAATAAATCATCTGATTATACATTTCACTCCATATAGGACTCTATAGGCTCCAGAAAAAATAAATAATTTCCAGTAGAGTGTTCTATAAGACATAGAGAGTACATTGTAAGTTCTAGTAAGTATCATATTGCTTTCAGAAGGTCATCTGTAAGTTCCAGGAAGGTACCTTGTAAGTCCAGCAAAATATTTTCTTAACTTTTGGGAAGTAACACGTAATTCCAGAAGAGAGCCCTGTAAGTTTCAGAAGGTATCTAGCTACAAGTCATCCCACAGCACAGCCTGGTCCACAAAGGTATCCTGGAAGGTCCAGCAGGTCTGGGTCGGGTTGTGTAGATTTTTCCTCCCACTATGGCAGCATACTGAATGTGGAGTGTCTGGCTTGTACCGGTTTTAAATGAAGAACCTAAATGATATTAAGTGCTTCTTGCATGGATTATTGTGGACTTTTTATGCTTCATATACTACATGGAGATGCAATATCTCAAAATGCAAATGCACATGCAGTTCCCCTGATAATATTTTAATTAACTCTGTAATTCATGCAGCCAGGCGTTCTTATCTCTGCTTTAAGTGAAAGGACAGCTGTTTGACCAGATGAGGTTGAAGCTTGAGTTTATGTGCAGAGCACATACAAAATGCACTTTAATATGCCAAGGGTGCAATAACAAGAATTAAAGCTTGCATAGTCTCAAAATGACTAAGATAAATCTGCAGAGTCTGACAGGTGTGTTGATCATTCTGACAGTACTAAAGCAGGAACTAAGTCTCTCACACTTTCAGAAATCTCTGAATGTGCTGTTGGAACTAACTCAGCAGCTCTCATATTTTTAGCTTCTCAGTGATGGATGATGGTGTTAGTGCCACAAGAAATTTTGCTCCTGAGCCAAAAAAAGTAAATGGAAGATTATTAGAGTGCTTAGTATTTGATATACATCCTCCCCACTTAATGTTTCTGTTATCCACTCTAATTAATGTGACTTTAATATTTATGAACTCTGCTGCAAGCTGTTGTCACTGAAATCTGTCCAATTCTGGCAGAGGTTGACCAAAGTCATTCCCAGGCTCCTAAAGAAGCGTTTTTATTTACATTGTTGACTTATTACATGTCTGCTTTCTTCATTAAAAGGTTTGCTTTAATCCAGGACAAATTCTCTTATCAGGGCCTAATGAGCAAGTAATTTCAAGTGGTAACAACAGTGTAGTTGATATTTATCACAAACAAAAGGGTCAAATTAGACATCAAGGGAAATGTCACCGGGAGCAGCAACCTTTATAGAGGAGTCGGCCTTTGAGCCTCAGTGGCAAAGATGGAGAGTCATTGGGTGGAGGTGGAGTGGTCCTGAAACATAATGAGGACTGCTGTAGTGTCTGAGGCAAAAAATAACTCTATTTTAGGATTGCATCTCCGGATGCGTCATCTGAAAGCTGCTATAGGCTGCACAACCAGTCTGTTTCTATAGATGCATACACATGAACACCCTCTTCACGATTCCTGAACAATCTGGAGTAAAAGTCAAGGATTTACCAAGTCTGGATAACTATGGAAAAATGTTTTTGTTCTGTTTTTCAACCAATATACATCCAATCATCCAGCTTTCGTGTGAAGTTATCATCCATCCGTCCATTGTTTGGTCATAATCCATCCGTTTGTTGATCTTCCATCCATCCATTAGACCAGTGGTTCCCAAACTTTTTCTCCTGGGCCCCCACAGTGGTTTCAAAACCATTTCTGGGGCCCCCCTATGGCTTACAAATAGCTGTCTGGATGAACAATGTGTGTGAGCAAAGGTTGGGGGGGGGCAGGTTATCCTTAGAGACTCCCAGCCCCAGCTCCAGACGAACAAGGGTGGGGGAATCAGGGAATCAACTTTTTGGGGGCAAAATGAACCATAGCTGAACATAGACAACAACCCCAGCAGCCTACAAGCTACTTGTTAACACGCTTAAGGTGATGTATTGATATTAGCTAGTCATCTTGTAGCCCCCTAGAGGGGGCGCACCCCACAGTTTGGGAACCTCTGCATTAGACCATCGACTCGTCCGTTTAATCACCATCCTTTGACTTATCCATCCATCCATCAGTCAATTGAATTGAATCCGTTTCAATTCCATTGAATTCAAAAATACTTTATTTACCCCAAAGTGAAATTAATATCTTCCAAGTTTCATTATAGATGGTGATGCTGTGTTTGAAGTATCTCTGGGAAAAGGCCTCCGACTGCGGACGGCTGACATGACATGCTTACAGCTTGTCTACTAATTCATATAATGTACTTTTGCTATGCTTCTGTGAGTCTCTGGAAAGATTGAGGCTCTTTGCCGCCGCTCTTTGGTTTTGACCAACCATGACGCCGCCTTCTCAACTGCACTGGGGTTTCGGGTTGTAGTTTTAGGTATTACCTGAGCTTTTGAGATGCTAATCTGCTGCTCCCATATGTGTAAACAATTACTTGCTGCCACGGTAACACATATTAACACCTGTCCAAAAGTTAAAAAGGGCAAAAATCCAATCACCTGCATAGCATTCAAAACCCAAGGGAATAAGCATGCAATAATTTAACCCAAAAAATATGACTAAAAGTCTAGAAAAAGAAGCAATCAGAAGTACCATAACAGAGCTACTCCAACATGCTGGCACCACAAACGGTGCAATCCATCATCCATTCATCTACTTATCCATGCATTCATCCATTTGACCATCCACCTGTCATCTTCCTTCCTTCTTTCTGCCATTTATTTTAGGCATCATATTTAAACTCTGATCACTGATAAAAAATAACTACCATAAATTCATGGTAGACATCCGTCTGTGTGCCCAAATAAATATTTTTAAAAATGACTGAGAACAGTGTAAATTTGCGTTTGGAAAAGTATTGAATTTTGACATGAAAAATGTGAAAGGACTCTGCAGCATGCACATTTAGGGCATTCAGGCACCGTGAGACGTATGAGAAATGGATTGGAGTGTAAATGCGACTTGTGATTTTATCGATGAATCACTTGAGTCTCGCTTGGATTATTTGGTCAGCAGCTTCTCTGAGATATAAAGCTGGAGATCTAGATTCAGCGCCGATATTGGAAGGGGATTTCAGATATATCCCGACCTCACTGTGATTCCCTGCTCCGCGCACTCTGCAGATGAATTAGTTTGTTTAGTTTTCATATACACCCCATGAGCACGCTGCAAGATTGAAATTTAATGTCAGGCTAAAACTCCCGAGGCCGATATTGATGTTAAACTTTAGCTTAAATGTCTGCGATGCAATCCGCGGGAGGTTTTACCTCTCTTCCTGAACAGATGATGTGACGCGTTTGGTCCTCAGTGCACTCTCTGTGCAGTCAGTGTGCAGCTTTGCTTGCATGATAAAACATCTTGCCCCAGGTTTAAGTCATAAAAGTGAAGCTGCTGGGCCAGAAAACCACATTTTCTGAGTAGGTAATCATGACCATTAATCATGTTGGCATTATTCGCTTTTTCGGCGACCAAAAGGAATAGGTCTGGGCTAAGGACTCTACCTCCGCGCTGTTGGTGAATATGTACTACCCCTCCCTCGCCCTGCAGGTCCAAATAAATGCATATAACACAACCCACAAAGCCTTTTTTTCTGACTCACGGCCATTTGGACTGATTTGTGGCTGCAGCTGTGTGAAATTATCTGAATTGTGGCAGTTGAGCAAAAAAATATATACAGCAAATTAGCCATGTGTGGGACGAAGTTTTCTTAGATACCCACGACTGTCGTGACACAAACAACTTATGCTACTAAAAAGAAACATAGCAAGAAGAAATAGGAATAGTTATTCTTACACATTTAGCTGTGGGTAATGTTGCTTTGAAGCGACAAATAAGAATATTTATCAATTTAAATAAAAAAGTTTTTTAAAGATCCAAAGTATCAGAAAAATAGAAATTAAAAAATTTAAAACAATAACATCAAAAATGTAAATCCAAAACAGCAGTATAAGACTAACAATAGAAAATACTGCTTTATTCTACTGCTAGATTATACTTTCATTTTATAGGTGTTTCTCTTTGCAATACCAACTTAAGTCGCTAGAGAAATACCAGAATATTTCAACAAAATAAGCAATAAAATTAATAAAAACAACAAAACAAAGCAGTATTTCATTGTTAAACATATTAATTTATTAAGAGAGCCAAAGAATGACTTGTAGCTCTACAGCTGTAGGCTGCAGCATATATCATCAACAGAAATTGATTTAATATTTACTATTCAGGGTTCATAATGGGGTCCAGAACCAGTTCTACCAAGTATCTGGACCTGGTTCAGAACCGCTCATGTTGATGAGTTAGAGACATCGCTACATTAATTCATCTTAAATTTCAAAAACTCCAGAGAAGGTAAAATTTTGTGGCGTAAACAGCATTGCTTTCCACTAATCAGCAGAGTACTATAAGCCTGGCGATCCACCAAGCAGAGAACTATAAGCCTGGCGATCCACCAAGCAGAGTACTATAAGCCTGGCGGTCCACCAGGCTTTACTTGGGCCCCCACCAGGCTAAATGCTGTTTTTTAAAACACCAGTAACAGTAAAGATGGATTAAGCTAGGTATATACAGTAGTTGCACCAATTGCACCATTCCTTCACCTGCCTGTTGGCCTCACGTCATTTCAAAATTATGATGCCTGCCCAACCCCATCTGAGTTTTTGTAATTTAAAAATTCATGGTCCCTAGCGCCCTGACCACCGGGCAGCAGGATTTCTGGGGGAGACCGTGCTGATAATAAGCTGGTCTTCAAAGTAAATATCCCCAGTATGTTTTCTTCATTTTCGCTAATGCCATCAAGAAAACCACTAACATATCCAAAGTATGTCTTCAAAAGGGTTAACTGCTGGTTTGATACCAACTATCTGAAAACCTTCAAACTATTCTTTCACCACCTGGAAATCCCACTTCGGATAAAAGCTAAAACAATGTTTTAGAGTAGGTTGTAGATATTATTCCTTATCTACACTAACATGCGTCTTTTTTCTTGTAGTACAACTTCTAACGGTGAATCTTGGTAAAGACTTTCTGTTGTACCGGATCGTCCCCAAAAAATTTACGTGACTTTTCATTCTATGCAGTGAAAGAGACCCACAGCAGAGTAAATTTAAGCAAAGTACCCAGTTCCAGCGAGTCCGATGTGGAAATGAGCTTCTCTTTCACAATGCAGCAATTTGTTTTCTGTGTCAATACCTTGAAAGCAAGGCAAGCCACTCTGTTTATTTCAAGACTCCAATCGATCCAGAGAACTCTATACAAGTCAAATTGCCTTGGAAACAAGTAACACTCATCACTTGCATTCAGGAGACTCAAAGACTGAAGACAGCTGAAAAAACTGGCTTAAGATGAGCAGTTTTTGCTGTTTCACCTTAAACGTGGCTGCCTTTCAATTACCATGCTCTCCAATGTTGTTATTCTGCTGTGCCTTTTGGGAACTGGGTGACTGCTTGGGAGGATTATGATAAAATTAGGTCATACACACAATGAAACTGCTGCAGTTTGTCATTTTGCAATGTGCTGCCATGTTACCAACCCATAACAAGGTCGGAAAATGCCGCCATGGGTCTTTTTTTTTTCCTTCAATAATTTAAAAAGCAAACTGATAGCTGCAAAGCCCCTACCTCACCTTATACCCAAACTGCCACTACTGGCAATGTTGCTGACAAACTGTGGTGATACTGGATAATGACTTCTCTCATGTGGTGGAAAGAAATAACGGAAGACGTTATTAGATTGGGAGCTAATTTAGAATCTGAGCCAGCTTAAACCGAGACTTTATCTCACCGGTGCAGCAAGTCAACGATGCACATAAAATCACCTCATGCTGTCAGGTCTTATCGTGGAAGTCTTCATGTCTTAAAGGTGGGGTTAAGCATCCTCTTCATGTTCATTTTGGTAGAGGAAGCACACAGCATGCCTGAGCTTTACATTATCTGGATTTATGTGTTATAAATCTAGAAGTGATTGTCTGGAAAATGAAGCTCATTGTTAAAACTTTTTTTATCCTTTAATTTTATTTAAATCATGTTTATTTTAATTGGCTTGTCTCTTCCATCTGGAGGTCTGAGTTACTGTGGTTTCGTCTTCAGCTTGCCTCTTATTACATCTGCTCCTTGTTTCTGGTGAGTACACCTGTTTCCACTTACCTAATCAGTCTGTGCAGTACTTCAGTTTTCCCTCCACTCTAGTTAACGCGATGCTGTGTTCCAGGTGTGTATGCGGCGCCTTCGCTCTGCTTGGTCCGTATCGCATCAAATACAATTTTAGTTTTTAGACCCCTGTTTAGATATTATTAAAGGCTACAATCAATGTTTAGCGACATAAATGGCATAATTCTTTAAATGAATCATAATGTCAGATAAGTAATTTTATTAAAATAAAAAAAAATCACTGCAAAATGAATCTTTGGAGGTTGCTTGTTGCTGTAGATCATAAGGCTCACACTATTTTCTAGAAATAAAGAAATTTCATAATAATGATTAAAATTGAAAACCAGTGTACCTACTGGTCTTCAACTATGTGAAATGAAACTGGGAATGTTCAACTGATGATTATCAGGCACTCCTGCTCTCAGTTAAGTGGAGTGTTAAATGCAATGCACCTGGCTTCTAGTTCCCACCACTCAGCCCTCTGAAAATTTCAAAGCCAGCTCTTATCTTAAGGATCAAATGTCCTGTATAATTGTGGTGTATTACTTTTCCAAAACCTTATTATCTCCTTTGTCATCTCCTTTGGCAGGAGCTTTTTAAGTGCTATCAATTTAAGGTGTAGCTACGTAGCAAGAAAATATCAAAATTATAAAGGATAGTGGGTCCAGAACACCCACTATCCAAATTAGACCAATTAAATGTTTTTGTCTCATTTAACAAAAGACAAGTTTAGTTTTTCTTAATCATTTCCTTAAAGACTAGCAGTGGTCTCAGCTTTACTTTAAACAGTTCAGGTTTGACACACTCTCCTTAAAAACTGAAAAAGCCCTTCAGATTGAAGCAAACTGAAAACCTCACATCAGACACCAAATTCAGTTGGACTACCAAGCTGCATGTTGTCATACAATGTTTAGACTGGTCACAACACGTGTAAATGGCAGCTTGGCATTCATTAAACATGCATACAGTAGACTGAAGTAAATCTGCATATACGCGAGACTGACTACAAATACCTGTTTTAATATTTTAAACACATATACTTAATATGCAATATTACTACACACATTTAAAGCTATCATGGCAGAAGCAAATGCCTAGAGTCGAATGGCAGCTCTGCATATCGTCATCTTTCTAAAATAACGGTCCAAGTCATTTTTTGCTAAGATTATTTAGGAAAAAAAATATTTTGACAAAAAAATAAATAAATACTTCGGCCATTATTTAGGAAGGCGACAATATGCTAGCCAGTAGCATGTCACGTAGCATTGCGCTGCCCCCTGGTGGAGCAATGCCCTGATGATGAGCCATATCATCCCTCTACGTTCCCAACAAGGTCAAATATTTCAATGACCATCAAAAGTGTTTGTAAAACATATTTATGCACTAATTTAGTCCAAAATATTATAAAAAAATACTAATTTGTTACAAAACCACACAGGAGGTCACAAGAAACACAGAGGGTCATGGTGTGGAAACACCAGCCATTTCTCACAACAAGGTAATGCTATTTGGTTACCTGAGCAGACACGAGATTGGCGGTGGCTGCATCATGCTGAGGGAAAGGTGTTCTCTGGCAGGGACGGTGAAACTGGTGATGTGAAGATGGATGGAGCCAAAAACAGCACAACACTGAACAGGAGTAAAAGAAACCGTTGGTAATTGCTAAGCAGATGGTTTCAGCTTCTAAAGCACGGCCAACAAACACATGAATAACCAAACTCAACCTGTGGAGGCTTTTACAAAGTGGAGTCACCTTTCAGGTTTGCCTACAACTGCGTTTTTTACATCCTCATCTCATGCAGCTTTACTGTCTTTTCACCTGCAGCTGACTAATAATGAAGAAATGCCATCAAAGTAGCGTTTTAAAGGGCACTTCTCTCACACAGACAACTCTGTGCAAAGATGCTCCCCAGGGAGACTTTCTTTTATTTTTAATCTGCTTTTAAAGTCGCAGAACCTTAAAAGGTGAGAAGAAAATCTGGTTCTCTTTTCTGCCATCACTCTGTTCAATATATTGAAGGTTTATGGTTTTGATGTGCTGTATAACCTCCTTTCTGTGCAAAAAGGCATGTTTACAAATAGAAATATTGACAAAAACTTACTGAAAATGACACAGACAGATCATAAACTGGATTATCATGGGTTTCAGACCAACATCTCCAAGTTGCTTGAAGTAAAGAGAACTTTGCTTATCTTTTTTTGGGAGACTCAAACTGAGATACTGAACAAGGTTTTTAAAGCTTTTTTAAAAGATGTTCTCCCCTTACATCTTGTTTCCAAATGCACCAGTTTTTCTTTAGCGCAAATGCAGCTCCAGAAATATATTATTAGGACTGTAAAGACTTATACTGTAGGCCATTTAGGTAGACAAACGTCTCATTTTAGTGTCATTGAAGCCATATGTCCAGCAAGGTTCAATCAGGGATGTAAAATTAATTTATTATCCCCACCATTATGCTGCTTGTTTCCCAGTGTTGGGTAGCAGCTGGGTAATCACACCTATCTGCTGGAGGCATTTTTAATCAACAGCTATAAGGAAAGTGCAACAATGAAATCCTGTTAACTCTGCAACCCAGATGGAAACCATCCGGTGTTAATTACCCTATTCAGGAGCAGCATTGTGTTTGTGTGACTAAGCTTATGAATTTTGTTCCTGAATGTGATGTTGTTGTTATAAAATCATGCAAAAATAGCATTTTAATGTGCTTATTTTTCAATGTTTTTGTAGAACATCGTTTAATGTGAACTGCAACTGGGTACAGGTTTTTCCTTTCAAATTTCTTTTTGGGTCAGTTTTTCATGACATTATATCCGTTTAAGAACAAAACAAATGTCTGCTCGGTTTTATTATCTTTGTTTCCAATAAATCATAAATAATAGGGTGCAGCACATAGTAAAAGGTTTTTCGTTTTCTTTAATTTATAATACAGGGAAAATCCGGAACTGAATGTTTGGTTAAAAACTCATCCTTTAAACCACAGTTATGTTTTTTTTTTTTTCTTATAAATCGGGAAACTAAATACAAAGAGCAGACATTTCTTAGTGTTTCAATCAAAATCCCAACAAAATGATGCTGTATAC